TCTGAATTTTCTTTCTTATTCTTCTTTCCTCAATTTCTCTTCTTCTTTTACTTATTCTCTCAACATTTTATTCTTCTTATTCCTTCATAGAATTCACTGCATTACTTCACAGAATTCACAGAATAAATTTTGTCTTCACATAATTCTTTAGCCATTGTATGCTTGCCAGCCCTTCAGCCACTGTATGCTTGCCTATTTCCTTCACTGCCACTTCACAATCACAAAATCCATTCAGCCTTTGTTCTCAGCCGCTGTATACAGGCTGATTTTCTTCACAGCACCACTATACCGCCTGCATGCTTACCGATTAATCACAAATTTCCATCTATCTCTGCATGCGTGAATTTATTAGAAGAAATGAGGATAATGGGGCCCACCACAATAACTAAATGCCAAAACTTCTCTTCCCATTCAAGCATTTATTCGGACATATATATATATATATATATATAGTTACATTAGCAATTTTTTTTATATTAAGTAATATTACTTCTAATATTTACATAACTAATATTTGATATATTCATTTATAAAAATATATTTTTCCTTACATGCATAACTAATATTTGATGGTAGTGAGGCCTGCAATGCTTTATGGTGCCGAATGTTGGCCATTAAAAGAGAAGCATAATTCTTTGTTAAGTGTGGCAGAGATGAGGATGCTCAGGTGATGAGTGGCTTTACCCTTAGAGATAGGATACGAAATGAGCATATACGTGAAAAGGTTGGAGTAGCTCCAGTAGAATATAAGATTAGAGAAAGTCGCCTTAGATGGTTTGGTCACATAAAACGGCGGCCTTCCGATGACCCGGTTAGGAGATGGAGGTATTGATTTGACTTATGTTAAGAAAGGTAAGGGTAGACCTAAAAAGACTTGGTTAGAAAATATTAAGAATGACCTTTCTTTATTATATTTAAACGAGAATTTGACTTTTAATAGGACACAATGGAGAAAAAGGATTCATGTAGCCGACCCCACGTAGTGGGATAAAGGCTTGATGTTGTTGTTGTTGTTGTTGTGGTTAGATTACATCAAAGATCAGTCTTAAGTCAATATCTTTTTGCTTTAGTCATGGATGTTCTCACTAGACTTTGCGAGAGGATGTAGCCAATATATTTTTGCTTTAGTCATGGATTTTCTAAGTAGACCTTTTGCGAGAGGATGTACCTAATTGTATGCTTTTTGTTGATGTTATTCTACATGTTGGTAAGACTAGAGAGGGAGTTGAAGGAAAACTCGAATTAGCCGCCAGAAACTTCGATACCGGATGGCTGATTGAAGCCGCCGGAAATCCCTTATAACCTCCGGTATTTACCGGCGGTTTACCGACGGTGTCCGGTGGTAGTTCGGCGACACGCCGGCGGTTACAACCGCAGACAATTCCTTAGGTTATGACCGCCGGTTAGCCGCCGGTACGTTTCCCGGCGGTCGAACAACAGTATTTTTACCAGCGATCAGACGGCCGAAAAGCCTCCGGTAAAAACACAGGTGACCACCGGAACACCGTCGGTGAAACAAACCACCGGAAAAACACCGCCGGTAATGATTTCGACGCTGTTTTTTCCTGCGGTTTGAAAACTACAGAAAAGCCGACGATTTTTTTCACAACCGTCGGAAAACATGAGTTAACCGCCATAAAAAACCGCCAGTAATTAGTGAATTTCCTGTAGTGCATACTACTACATAACGCCGGACTTCCACCCAAAGCCAGACTTTTGCTAGTTGACGGACTTACGTCGGACTTCCACCCGATGATGGACTTCTTCCGATAGTCGGATTTTTGTCGGACTTCTACTCGACGTTGGACTTTCGCTTGTCGTCTTACTTTTGCCCGACACTTGACTTCCACCCGTCATCGAACTTTTGTTTGTCTATGGACTTTTGTTGAACTTCTACCAGATGTTGAACTTTCACCCGTCGCCGGATTTCTACTTGACGTTGGACTTCTACCTTTCGCCAGACTATTGTCGGACTTCTGCCTGATGTCGAACTTCCACCCATCACCAGACCTCCGCCCGTCGCTAGATTTCTACCCGACACTGGATTTATGTCCGCTGTCGAATGTTCGTCAGACTTTTACCTGACATCGGACCTTCACCCATCGCCATATTTCTACCTGACACTGAACTTCCGCCTATCGCCGGATTTCTACCCAATGCAGGACTTCCACCTATCGCCAGATTTCTATCCGACGCAGGACTTCTGCCCATCGCTGGACTTCCAACCTTCGTCGTTAGCTTACTAAGGTCCTTCTGACCTCAATAATCAGATTGCGGTCTTACTGACTTTCGTCATCCGCCGACTATGGTCCTTTTGATCACTATCACCAAAATATGTTATTTCCGACCTCCATCGTCCGCCGACTTTGATCTTTCCGACCAAACGAACACGTCAATAGTGATTCTTCCTATTCCTACCATGTAATGCACTCCATATTATGTATATTTGTTACACCATGCCAATGCCTTCCTCCCAAGGAAGAGTCTCATTTGTAATCAACTACAAATACTAGTTGATTCATTCAAACTAGGCCAGGCCCCGTGGTATTTCCCCTATTCAGAGTTTTTCACATAAAAATCTTGGTATCTCTTTAAATACCACACCATCTCTTTTTATTTGATCATGTGTTGGATCTTCGTTCAAATATTCTAGTACACGACAACTTTTTTTTTTTTCTAGGGCGCATGAACTACGAACTAGATTTCTCCCACTGTAGCTATTTCCACTCAGTCCTAAACAGTTTTAAGCTATCAGTTTGATTGCAGCATGTTGGTGGGCGCAACAACAGTCGACTCGAATCATTTGATTAAAGATATATACTTTTCAGGTGTTTTAAAGATGTTTGGAGAGTTAGAAATCAAAATTAATTGATGATTGATTAAATACATTTAAACACGGGATAATAAATTAGTTATTTTTGAAAATAAGCTACCTAAAAATCTGTATGAACCTTAAAAAGATTTGAATGAAATGTTCAAAATATAAATTTTTATGGTACAAATGCAGCGACTAAGAGGAACAAGTAAACTTAAAAAAAAAAAAAAAGAACAAGTAAACTTTGTAGCAGAATTGATGTGACAAGTGGCAATTTAACCATAGTCCCTCCAAATATTCTGAGGTTTGATGCGGATCGAGTGGTGGCTCGGTCAGAGATGAAAAGCATCTCTCACCTTATCCGGGCTCAAATTTTTTAACCTACCCAAAAAAAGCATGGATGTCAGTAACGGTGGCTAGTGACGATGATTGTTGGTGGCATTAGAGTTAAGCACGTGCAGGACTTGCGCACATGGTCGTGGATCGTGTGTAGAGATGGGTGCACGAGTACTGAATATGCAAGCTCGGGTGCCGTTCGAAGCAGCAAAAAAGTTGTCATTTGGAATGGTTTTCTTACTGCTTCTCAAAACAGATTTTTAGTAAAAAAATTAAATTTTTGTACTATAAAATTACTTTAAGAAGCAGTAAGAAAACAATCTCAAATGATGTTGTAGTTAAAATAAGAGTAAAGCGATAAAAATTTTCTCATTCAAAATAAGGGCAAATTATTAGGTGCGAACACAGGATGGAGAGAATCGTTGGGTTTTCTCTGTCTACAGTCAAAGAACAGTTTCTACAATAACTGTGCTTTGACTGCATTTTCACTGTAGACAGATAGAAAACTGGACGGTTCGCTCCGTCCGGTTCCCACACCTAATAATTTCTCCAAATAAGGCCAATCACATAGATAACACTAACACCTTTACACATTCTTTTTTCAAAATTTCATGCAAATATAAAATATTTAACTACGCGTTTACATCGCAATTAAAAATATTGCAGTTATCCTTATATATAGACTCCTTCACTTGGGAAAGAAGTAGAAGAAGCTAAAATCTCAAGCGAAAGATAAGGCCATGATGATGGTTTTCAGTAATGGAGGCCTCAATGTTTTGCAGGAGGTAAAGCCCTACGTATACTTGGTTATGCAACAGTTTTTCATTGCCGTCATGTATGTACTAGCGGAGGCAACCCTCAAGGATGGGATGAACCAATATGTGCTTGTTGTTTATCGCAACATTATTGCTGCTGTCACCATCGCACCATTTGCGTTTTGGTTTGAAAGGTCTCTTCTTCTCCTAATTTCTCTAATATGAAGTAAATATTTAAACTAAAAACAGTTGTAGTTCTGCACTGAAATATGTCATGTAATACCCATCTCCTTGTTTGATAATTATATTTGTCAGTGCAGGAAACAGAGACCAAGAATTACAATGGTCATCTTCCTTAAGATAATTGCGTTAGCTTTCCTGGAGTAATGATTCTCTACTTTTCATTCCTTCTCTTAGGTTTTGTTTGGGATGGCTTTCTTACTACTTCTTAAATCAAATTTTTAGTTAAAAATTTTAAGAAACGGTAAGAAAGCTGTCCCAAATGAAGCCTTAATACCTTAATAGTTTATCACATGATATGACTTATTAACTAGCCGATGTTATACATGTTTTCATTGAACAGTCCAGTGCTTCAACAAAACTTCTTTTACATGGGAGCCAAATTGACCTCAGCAAGCTTTGCTGCTGCGCTTGAAAATATAATTCCTGCCATTACGTACCTTATGGCCCTTGTTCTAAGGTAATGTCTCTATTGTTAGTCATTATTATAGTCTATCTTATAAGTTATAAGGTTGCTTTATTATCTAACCACCAATCACTAAGTTGGGTGTTATTGCCTATGGCTTCTTTTGAAACAACTTTCTAGCTGCTTCTTAAAGCAGCTTTTAATTATAATTTTTTTTCATTTTTGTACTAAAAAGTTATTTTAAGAAGAAGTAAGAAAGCTTATGTCTATATTTGAATCATAAAAAAAAAATCTAAATTTGATCTATTTCACTCTTAGTTGATATAATATTAATATTAATTTAGAATAAATAAATAAAACTATGAGCTACTTCCACAATATTTTGTGCTTGATTTCTTTTTTTTTTTTTTTTTTTTTTTTTTTTTTTTTTTTTTTTTTTTTTTTTTTTTGCTTAATTGATTAGGTTGGAGAAGTTGGAGATAAAACAGAGATTTGGTCAAGCAAGTGTGATTGGAACAGTTGCAAACATTGCAGGAGCAATTTTGATGATTATTTACAAAGGCCCCAACTTGAAATTGCCCTGGTATTCATGGAGAAAAGATGTTCAGTACAGCAGCACTGAAGATTCCATGGCCGGAGGTGCTGGCGTCTCCCAGTGGATAGAGGGCACTTTTTCCATTATAGGGAGCAGCACTCTCTGGTCTGCCTTCATAATACTACAAGTAATGAAAGCTATATTATTTAATAATTTTATGATAAATTGATTACAATTATCATATAATTGAGTGATTAATATAAACTAATCATGGCCTGTAATTAAAAATATGCTTGCATTTAATATTTTTGCAGTCAAATACCTTAAAATCGTTCCCCACAGAACTTACCCTAACAGCTTTGATTTGCCTCGTTGGTGCGGTGATGAGTGCTGTGGTTGCGTTGGTGTTGGAAGATGGAAGTGCAAGTCCATGGATTATAGGTTGGGACCGCAGGCTCTTTCTTGCAATATATTCTGTAAGTTCCTTCGTAACATATAATTTTTGTACTAAAAAGTTACTTTAGAAAGCGGAAAAAAACTGTCCCAAACGATGCCTAAATATTCTAAATTTCTTTTAGAAGTACAGAAGTAATGATTTGTATATATATAGTGTTTGGTTTTATGTGATATGAAGGAGAAAGCTTCAATTTGCAGGGGATAACATGCACTGGCCTCTCATATTATTTCCAAGGAGTTGTGATGAATGAGAAAGGGCCAGTTTTTGTCGGTGCTTTCAGCCCTCTTTGCTTCTTCTTTACTTTGGCCTTGGGCTCCTTCTTTCTGTCCGAGAAAATATCATTGGGAATGTAAGCATTCTCTTACTTTTTGAGTGGCGGATTGCCGAGAAATTATTTCATGCAGAGTCCATACGGTAAAAAATCGTCCCGATATAAGTGTACAAAATGTGTATACTGTGTGTGTATAATCATGTGCACAGTTTAATTTTTTTTATACATAATGTGTACACTCACATCTGAATGATTTTTTATCGTCCGGACTCCGTACGAAATAATTTTTCCCGACTGCCTAAAAACTTTTCAAAAAAAAAAAACTCCGATTGCTGCAACTCAAATTATTACAAAGTTTAAGAAGACATTAAATTTTTATTCAGTTAACGCTTTGACTCTACTTAATTGGAGACAGGGCTATTGGGTCAATTATAATGGTGGCAGGCCTCTATGCTCTTCTATGGGGCACTAGCAAGGATCCACTATCTCAGCAAAATGAAAGAGTTGAAGGGGAGCAAGAGCTATCCTTGTCTACAGCTACATTGGTTGGTAATTCCCAACCCACACGGCAATCTAATATACTTGACAAGTCGATGTCAGTATAGTTGAGGAGCTTGATTTAAGGTATGTTTAAGGAAATTTTATTCTGTGCGGACGTCGAACGTCATCCAGAGATAAATTAGAATATGCAACATCACCCCCTTGTTCGGTACCGCTGATGTGACTACACTTGATTCGCCTTCGGACGTAAAGCTGCGTCACATCACCCCTTCGCTCGATACTGCGGCTCGGACCGGCATCCGCACAGAATAATTTCTCCTATTTAAGACGGATGCAATTTTTTTGTAAAAGTCGTTATAAAATTATTGTGAAGAAAATAGTTGTTTTGAAAGTTGTTGTAAAATATAGTTTCCTAGCATATAAAATTTTTGAAACCAATAAGAAAATAGTAGCCAAACAGAATTTTGATTGTAGTCTAATAAGCAAAGCAGTAAAAAAATTGTCTCAAATAGATCTTTAATATTTATTATTAGTATTATTATTATTGATATATCATCAAAAAAATTATCTTGATCGGCACGAATCTCAAGGCAAATATCAAGTTGAAAACTTCAAAAATTAAATCTAGGATCACTGGAACTACGATTTCAGCGAACTTACAGTCGAACTGATCATCTCAGAAATACGAACCCAACGACACCAAATTCGACTCAATCTGAGCCCAAATGAGTCCAAATCAAGGACCCGAAGCACTGTTGGAAAGTTTGAATCATAATTTGAGTTTCCAAACGGTTTCCAAAAATGACATGCTTATAGTCGAATCGAGCGGCTCGACGAGATGAATCCAACAAACCTAATATTGTCAAATTCTGACATCATTAAGACCTTCAAATGCCTGACAAAAGGTGCACAATCAAGGGATTCAATATCGGTCGTTCATCCTACCACTCCCTATTTACCCCTGATCTCTCACCTATTTACAAGTCATGCAACTCCATAATATCTATAAATAGACCCCTCATTTCTCATGAGAGGGGACCGAAGAGCCAAGCGAGAAGAGCAGGAAGGAAGAAGAGGAGAAGAGAAGAATAGGAGGGTAGAAACTCGTCCTCACCGCTGGAATTCCGTCCGACTTCCAAGTGACGCTGGAATTACGTCCGACACGGGATGCGGGAATTCCGCCCGACCTCCAAATGACGCCATAGTTCTGCCCGAATACCATCTAACGCCGGAGTTCTCCTCGGCCGCCAACGGACGTCATATTTCTACCCGACGCTAGACCTCTACTCGTAGCCAAGTTTTAACCCGACGCCGGACTTCTACCGACTGTCAAACTTTCGTCGGACATCTATTTGATCATGGATTTCTGTACAGTGCTGGACTTCTACCTTACTCCATCCTTTTGACCTTCATCGTCAAATAATAGTTCTTCTGACTTACATCGTCCACTGGCTACAATCCTTCTGACTTCCGTCGCCCGCCGACTACGGTCCTCCTGACTTACGTCACCCACTGACTACAGTCCTTCCGACCTTTGTCGCTTGTCGACAACGTTCATGCTGACTTACGTTGCCCACCAACTACAGTCCTTCCGACCTCTGTCGCTCGCGACTACGGTCCTCCTGACTTAAATCACCCACTAACTACATTCCTTCTGACCTCCGTCGCCCGCCGACAACGCTCCTACTAACTTACGTCGCCCACCGACTATAATCCTTCCGACCTCCGTCGGCTCTTCTATGGGGCACTAGCAAGGATCCACTATCTCAGCAAAATGAAAGAGTTGAAGGGGAGCAAGAGCTATCCTTGCCTACAGCTACATTGGTTGGTAATTCCCAACCCACACGGCAATCTAATATACTTGACAAGTCGATGTCAGTATAGTTGAGGAGCTTGATTTAAGGTATGTTTAAGGAAATTTTATTACGTGCGGACGTCGAACGTCATCCGGAGATCAATTAAAATGTGCAACATCATCCTCTCGTTCGGTACCACTGATGTGACTACATTTGATTCGCCTTCGGACGTAAAGCTGCGTCATCACCCCTTTGCTCGATACCATACAGCGGCTCGGACTGGCATCTGCACAGAATAATTTCTCCTATTTAAGACGGATGGAATTTTTTTTGTAAAAGTGGTTATAAAATTATTGTGAAGAAAATAATTGTTTTGAAAGTTGTTGTAAAATATAGTTTCCTAGCATAGAAATTTTTTGAAACCAACAAGAAAATAGTAGCCAAACAGAATTTTGATTGTAGTCTAATAAGCAAAGCCGTAAAAAAATTATCTCAAATAGGTCTTTAATATTTATTATTAGTATTATTATTATTGATATATCATCAAAAAAATATCTTGATCGAGCACGAATCTCGAGGCAATCAAGTTGAAAACTTCAAAAATTAAATCTAGGATCATTGGAACTCCGATTTCAGTGAACTTATAGTCGAACTGAACATCTCAGAAATACGAACCCAACGACACCAAATTCGACTCAATCTGAGCCCAAATGAGTCCAAATCAAGGACCCGAAGAATTGTTAGAAAGTTTGAATCATAATTTAAGTTTCCAAACGGTTTCCAAAAATGACATGCTTATAGACAAATCGAGCGGCTCGACGAGATGAATCCAACGAGCCCAAGATCGTCAAATTCTGACATCATTAAGACCTTCAAATGCCTGACAAAATGTGCACAATCAAGGGATTCAATATCGGCCGTCCATCCGACCACTCCCTATTTACCCCTGATCTCTCACCTATTTACAAGTCATGCCACTCCATAATATCTATAAATAGACCCATCATTTCTCATGAGAGGGGACCGAAGAGCCAAGCCAGAAGAGAAGGAGGAAGGAAGAAGAGGAGAAGAGAAGAATATGAGGGAAGAAACTCCTCCTCAATCACCGTCGGAATTCCGTCCGTCTTCCAAGTGACGCCGGAATTACGTCCGACTTCCACGGGATGTTGGAATTCCGCCCGACCTCTAAGTAATGCCATAGTTCTGCCCGAATACCATCTAACACCGGAGTTCTCCTCGGCCACCAATTGACGTCGGATTTCTACCCGACGCCAGACCTCTGCTTGTCGCCAAGTTTTAACTCGACGCTGGACTTCTACCGATTGTCGGACTTTCGCCTTACATCTATCTAATCATGGATTTCTGTACATTGATGGACTTCTACCTGACGCCATCCTTTTGACCTTCATCGTCAAATAATGGTCCTTCTGACTTACATCGCCCACTGACTACAGTCCTTCCGACTTCCGTCGCCCGTCGACTAAGGTCCTCCTGACTTACGTCGCCCACTTACTACACTCCTTCCGACCTCTATCGCCCATCAACAACGGTCCTGCTCACTTACGTTGCCCACCAACTACAGTCCTTCCGACCTCTGTCGCTCGCGACTACGGTCCTCCTGACTTATGTCACCCACTAACTACATTCCTTCCGACCTCCGTCGCCCGCCGACAACGGTCCTATTGACTTATGTCTCCCACCGACTATAATCCTTCCGACCTCCGTCGTCCGCCGACTACGGTCCTCCTCACTTACGTCGTTCACCGATTACAGTCCTTCTGACCTCCGTCGCCCACCGACTACGGTCCTACTGACTTAGTCGTTCACCGATTATAATCCTTCCAACCTCCGTCGCTAGCCGACTATGATCCTCCTGACTTACGTCGCCCACCGACTATAGTTCTTTCGACCTTTGTGGCCAGACAACGGTCTTTATGACCTCCGTTGCCCATCGACTACGATTTTTCTGACCTCCGTCACCAGACTATGGTCCTTCTGAACAAACGAATACATCAACGGTGAATCTTTGTATTCCTACCATATAATGTACTCAATATGATGTACATCAAGCCAAGGACTTCCCCCAAGGAAGGGCCTCATTTGTAATCAACTGCAATACTAGTGGATTCATTCAAATTGGGCTGGGCCCCGTGGTTTTTCCCCCTTTCAAGGGTTTTCCACGTAAAAATCTTGATGTCTCTAGTGAATGATGCACCCGCTCTTTTTATCTGTGTGTGTGCTGGATCTTCGTACAATGTTAAGACATTAAATTTTATATTTTTCTACTGCCGCGAATACTCCAGGACGCAACAATTATTACTTTTATTATTATTAGAAATCTATAAGTGGGAGAGTGCCGGTTATAAATTTTGTGAAACTCGCATAAAAAACAAGAGAATTCAATTATGCACATTATTCGGTCTCGCTGCTGTATGGAATGGGCTTGTTCATCTCTTATTTTGTATTTTTTAGATGTCTTATATATAGTCTTTTTCAATATATATATATATATATATATTCTTTTTTTTTTCTAGAACTAGGAACAAGATTTCTCCCACTGTAGCTATGTCCACTCAGTCCTAAACAATTTTAAGCTATCAGTTTGATTGCTGCATATTTTTCAGGTGGTTTAAAGATGTTTGGAGAGTTAGAAATCAATATTAATTGATGATTGATTATATGCATTTAAACAGGGGATAATAAATTAGTTATTTTTTAAAATAAGCTACCTAAAAATCTGTATGGACCTTAAAATGATTTGAATGAAATGTTCAGAATATAAATTTTTATGGTACAATTGCAGCGACTAAGAATTAGAACAAGTAAACTTTGTAGCAGAATTGATGTGACAAGTGGCAATTTAACCATAATCCCTCCAAATATTCTGAGGTTTATAAAAAAACACTCAAAGGCCAAAGGGGGGCATTATAAAGACAAAAAATTTAATAGGGATTTTTTTGTTGGTTGGAAAAGAATGCAATATAAAAGAATATTTTGATGTTATTTAGATGAGTATAAAATAAATATAGATGTTATTTAGATGAGTGTAAAATAAATGTAGATGAATAATTTTTTTAATTTTATTTGAAATAAAATAAGTGTAGTATAAAATGTAAAGATGGTGGCGGCGGATGACAGTAATGGTATCTAGTGATAATGATGGGTGATGGCATTGTAGTAGAGCACGTGTAGGATTTGCGCACATGGTCGTAAATCGCGTGTAGAGATGGGTGCACAAATATTAAATACGCGAGCTCGGGCGTGGTTCAGACTTCAGAGCAGAAACAAACAGACAATATGGTTGCCAA